GTCATTTCCCTCTGCAGCCATCTTTGAAATGCCTCTCGGGCATGCAAGTGCAGCTCCTATCTCAAACAGAGCCTTGACCCAACATGGCTACCACATCTGAGACTCCAGCCAACATGGCCACCACGCCAGGGCCTCCAGCCAACCGGGATTCCTCACCAGAGACTCCAGATGTCACAGTCGCCACACTTAGAGACTTCAGCCGTCATGGACACCACTCCAGTGTTTCTGGGTGTCATGAACTTCGAGGCTATCTGAGGCTACAAGGGCGATTCCTAGGTGTTCCTAGGAGACTGACTTCCTGTTTGGTGGACACGCCACTTATATCGGTGCGAGCTGCTGACATCTCTAAGGTGGTACGTGGTCTGAGGGTTTCTGAGGTGGTCCCGCTGTCAGTCGCACTCCCTGTTGTGTGTTTGGGCTGCACACTGCTCTCCAGTCCATGAGTCTGCTCCAGAGCTTATTCTAGTCCATGAATCCGCTCCAGAGCCCGCTCAAGCCCCAGAGCTCAGTGCTGTGTTGGCGCCAGCCTGTGAGTTACCTTCCTGTTCTGTTTTAACCACAGTGATCACAAGTAAACCCTCTACCAGTCATGTCACGGCCAAAGAGGTCATCTCTGAGCTCTTAGCCTGCCCTGTCATGGCCAAGGAGGCCATCTCTGAGCTCTCAGCCTGTCCGGTTACAGCCGGGGAGGCTGTCCCTGAACCTCTTGCCTGCTCTGTCACGGCCATGGAGGCCGCTCAGCAACTCTCTACCTGTCATGCTACAGCCACTGAGGCTGTTCAAGGAAATTCTGCCTATCATGGCCTTGGAGACCATTCACAAACCATCTGCCTGTTCTGTCACAGCCAAGTGGTCCGTCCATGTCTCTGCTTTGCCATAACCTCCTGCTCTGCTCAGCGGGCTTCACCTTGGTCACCTGCTTCGCTCTGGTCACCTGCTCCACCCTGGTGGTCACCGGCTTCACCCTGGTGGTCATCTGTGGGGATCCTCGGTTCCGCTTGCTCCGTTCTGATGGTCTTCAGCTCCGCCCAGGCTTCCTGCGCTGCCAGCTCCACCCTGATTCTCTACAGTGGTGTAATGTAATGAAGTAATAATACTTTGTTACAGTACTTAAGTATTTTTTGTGAGAATCTGTACTTTACTTAAGTTTTTTGTATTTCTGTCAACTTTCACTTTTACTCTTTTACTTACTTTTATACATTTCCCTGAAGCATATTCGTTTCTTACTACAACATAAAGTCAGAAGAGCACAGACTTCAAGAAAGCAGGTTTGACGAATCAGTGGTCTGGTGCTTGAAAGTTAGACTCCTATAAAACACTCATGTGCAAACAAGTGCCTGCACCACTACATTTCCTAGTTAAAATGTATACTTTTATACATTTCCCTGAAGCATATTCGTTTCTTACTACAACATAAAGTCAGAAGAGCACAGACTTCAAGAAAGCAGGTTTGACGAATCAGTGGTCTGGTGCTTGAAAGTTAGACTCCTATAAAACACTCATGTGCAAACAAGTGCCTGCACAACTGCGTATGATTTAATTTTCCACTCAATTCGAGGCTAGGGTGTGGAACATACAGTTTATTGTCTGCAATAATATGGTAAGTGTTGTTTTAACAATGTGCGATCTGACATTATCGAGTATATCACAAAAACACACACAAAGAGTGCACGCATACACTAGATTTTATACAAGTTTAATAAAGTTAGCATTAAGTGACTTACATTTTAGACACAATATTGCCTGTTTTTTCTCAATTTTAAAATAGTTCCAAACAAAGATCACAGCACTGTTTTGCGTCTCTGAGCAACACACAGGACGGTGTTTCCTTATTGAATGAATCAGCTTTTTGAACAAATCAGGTGAATGAATGATTCAGTGACTCACTCATTAACACAATCAAATGCTTCATTCTTGAATGAATCAGCCATTTGAATGAATCGGTTGACTGCCACCTGGCGGTTTTAATTTTACAATTATTTTTTCATGTTTTAAATCATTTAAAATATCAGGACCACCTCCAGTTCTCCAACCTCCTGGACTCTTTGTTTGTTTTGGGTGGTTTAGGGCATCGGGAGCCGCCCTTAGAGGGGGGAATATGTCATGGTTGGTTTTGGGTGTTGGTTTATGTTCATGTTTTCATGTCTTTTATTTTGTAGTTTTCCCACAGTCATGTCCTCTGTTAGTCATGTGATTCCCTGTTCCTTCATGTGTCATGCTTTCATTGGTTTATTTTCTTGTCATGTGGTCTTTTGTTTGGCCTTCTGATTGGTCCATGTTCCTCAGCTCATCTTTGTCATTGGTTGGATTGTGTCATGTGACCCCATTTGTTTGATATATAGCCCTCATGTTTCATCGTCCATTGTCTAGCTTTGTTGCCTGTAACTACTGTTGATGAGTTGTGTCCATGTCCATGTCCATGTCCATGACTATGTTCTTGTTTTGCCTACTTAAGTCAAGTCACGTCAAGCCAAACCATGTCAAACCATGTCTGTGTTTATTGTTTATCTGCTCACTTTTGGGATATAATAAAACTGCACTTGGGTTCTCACAATGCTCGCCTTCAGTAGTCTCTCATTACACATGTACTGTATGTGCCTGAAGTTTGAGAAACAAGGTTTTCAGCTCACAGCTGACATTGAGCTCTGCACTATCAATGAACACCAGCAACATCAAAACCGCCTACATAGTTGTGAAGAGCAAAATTCCCAATGAAATACAATGGCGAGTTATGCAGAGCTTTCTGTACATTAATTTATACTTGATGTAAGGCAAATGTCTGAATCATTTTTCAGCAAGGAGAACCATAGATGGATAGAAATACCACTGAGTATTAAATAGGATATTTGATATTCCCCACTTTAAGATAATCAGCTCAATTACCTCCCCACATATCTACGCTTGTAATCTTGTGCTCCTATACTGAGAGGAGATCTCATTGGAATAGCACGTCCATTTCTCTGTGAAGTGATGACAAGCAGACAATGGCGTTTATAATGGCAGTGTGGTAGAAATTAACATTAAGCACTTTCACAGGCCGATTCCCTTATGACCACAACTTGACAGCATTTCATTGTACACAATTTGAGTCAGTGATCAAAGTGACAGTGATGTAAAAACCCCTGTCAACAGAAAATAGTTCAACTCTCTAGTGTTCTTGCGAAATCACCTCTAATTAGGTCAAGGCCTGATCCATCAGCAAATATGAGTGGAATCAAAATCGAAAAATGGGGGGAAATGGACGGCTGTGTCTATTTACCCTCTGAAATATTATGGGAAACATCAGGCTGTCAAACTAGTTCAGGATCAGATGTGGCAGGGGTAGCGGTGATGAGATTCTACCCAAGAATTAACTGTGACCTGCATTGAAACTTAAGGATGAAATCAGCTCAGTGTTAATATGCGAAATCAAAAATTGAGTAAATCACACAAAATAACTTATTTCAAATAGCTTATGTAATTAAAGGAAAAATTTGAGATGAGGAACTGTACAAAGCAAGGATTCTTAATGCCCGATATAATCATGGCAATGTTCTTAAAATATCATACATCATATCATATCAGATCTTTGCTTATAGGAGTAAAAAGATGTTGGAAATACCTGAGCAGCGGTGTAATGACAGCGCACATCCTGACGCTGCCTACGCTGCTGAGCATGGCTTTAGATTATAAGGTAAACATGTGCTGCAACTTTCCTCTCAATTATAATATAAACACACAACAAAAATAACAGAGTGAGAAAACAGCAGTTAACCATCTGATCATAGTGATGTGGATGTGTTTGCACCAGCTCTACAATTCAGCACTCCAATCAAGTTAAAGGGTTAGTTCAGCCAAAAATGAAAATTAGGCTGCGTGATTACTTTAAAGCAGCTTTACAGTTTTAAACATCACTTTCAGTTAGATTTACAACTTCTGCTATAAAACAGCACTCCACTGTGTTCATGTTTTTTACTTGCTTCTGAAATTGATGGACTGAATAGAAGCTACAGTATTAACGAGAGATCATTTCCACATCAAAGAAGGTGGAGCCTTAGAGCACATCTACCTATTACGTAATCTCCATGGACCAAAGGTAGTTCGAAGGTGTTTACTAGTCACATGCACGTTTCTCAAAAGCATTGTTAGCCAACTTCTCACAAGTTCTGTCATTACCAACATGATTCTGTATTTCCCACAACCATAGTTTCCTGAAATTACCATTTGCAAACAGAATGGCAAAGTTCAACTCGAGTCAGTTCAGTGTTGATTCATTTGAGTTTAGTTCAATACCAGTGTCAATGTTGCAAGATGGGATTTCGTTCCTGATTTCATTTTAAATGATGTCACACCAGTTCGCTCTTCGATTTTGCTTGATGTACATGGGGCCTTTTGACCCCTGAGATATGTTCACATGAGGCACGTTGACAATATCTGGACTTCAAAAGTCGACCTGTAGGACTCTGAGGAATGAAGCAATTACAGAGAACACGGTGATACGGTGTCAAACGCATTAGGAAGTCAAACATACTAATCATTGAAGACCTCTCCACAGAGGGTGGAATGCCTTTAGCTATGTTTTTTTTTTCGGCATTGAAAGACAAACTCCTCAATGTCCGTGGCGGTGTGCCAGCCTAGGAAACACAAGCACTGAGAGGCCATCCAATTAGCAGGTGTTTGTAAGAAACAGTTGACACTCCCCCCTGTCTGAATGGCCTGAGATCTATAGCTACGGCAGTCTAGACACCAACAGACAAATTTAGGTGCTCTGGGGAGTTTTGTCTTTTTGCAACATGCCTGTTTTTGGAGAAAACATCCAATTTGGAGGATGTCACATGACAAACTGGCTTTCAATAAAAGGCCATATGGAATAGTGAGATAAAGGCCGCCACCGTATGCTTTTATTACTTTAACGAGGTTGTATTAGTCTCAGGTGTGTAGAATTAGCAGGCGAGCACATGCACAAGTGCTTATAGTATTAAAGAGAGAACACAATACACATCATAACAAACAAACAGCATTTTATAATCCCTTTCATGTCTTTGAAGTTGAATTTATAGAATAGCAACGTGAAATAGAGCACACTGGAGAACTGGTAAAAACAAATCAGTTGTTTATTGAGAGAAACACTGGGTTAATGGAATATTTGTGGAATAGATATGTAAAAATTCTTCAATAGAGTTATCTGAATTATTAATTAAACTGCACACCACCAACTGTTAAGAGAGCCAATAACAAATAACAGCGTCGGTGATAAAGAAAAGGAAAAAAAATCTTTAAAAATCTAGTTTAAAACACATGTACCAATTTCTTAGAAATATAGTTATTGTATTCATGTTAATTTTATATGGTTTTGAAAACGTTTTCATTTGAAGTTTATACTTTTTTTTTTCTGAAGGAGTATCTCAAACCTTTTTAAGACATTGTGAATTAATAATGCATACATATTTTACATTATTATTTTGCTTTATTGTTTTATTTACAAATGATATATTGCAATCTAAAATAACATTATCATAAAAAGGTAAAATTCTTTTATATTTTAGTTGACTTAATGACTGGCATGTTGGTTGCGCCAAATGACTTTGATTTTGCGGAAGGTTTCCAAATCACCAATTCAGTTTTTTTTTCTAAGAAAAAAAATATATTATGTCAAGGTTTTGAATTTAATGAGGTTTTTTTCTCTTCATTGTGATATCAGGACAGTTGTATCACTCTGACACTTTTAACTTAATGTCCAAAAATACAAAAATTAATAAAAAAAAAAAAACACGTCATAGTGGAAAGGTGCGTTCAAGTCATGAATTGCATTTTGAATGTATTTTATTTTATTTTATTTTTAAAAAAATTGTGTCGTATCATAGATCCAAAAGCACAGAAGCAAATGTGTCAAATTTGAGAGAGATAAAGCAGGTCCCGCCCTGGATGACCTAGGAAATTGCTCTGGGATGCTCCAATGGCTCCACGGAATCTCCAGACATACTCGTGTCATGTTAGCGCGTGTCGAGGCCCCATATGGACCAGTTAATATTTAAAGCGTTGAAGCACACGCGATTCCCAACAAAATTCATCTGCAAGCACATAGCCTGATATAGCTTCTGAACCTCTTTCAGCATCTCGATATCGAAATTGCCGAAAAAACAGCAGGACATTTCAGCAGGAATTGAAATGGAAACAGAAAGCTGAGGAAAAAGTAATGACCTGCCATTGGGAAGGTCGATGCTTGGCTGCACAAAGAGATAGAAGGGGCAAACAGTGGCAAAGGGAAAGTAGGCCGGCAGTGGTGAGGGAATAGTTGCGCTTTAACCTTCCTCTCTGCAGGAGTGGAGATGAGTGCCCTCGGTAGGGTCACACGGGCAAAACACGAAGGGAATGTTAAACACAAGTACCCTGCGCAGCACTGACCACGGCCAACAAGATCCCACCACACATTCTGCTAACGTGCTGTGACCACTCTCTCGCTGATGAGGTGACTTCTGGGAGATGCGTTTGCCACACGCAAATTTAATCACAGCACTGGACCGTTTCAGCCTCAGAGTAAAAAGGTAATTGTGACTTTAATTATGATTTTATTTCTTGTAATTGCAGATTTATATCTCTTATACTACATACTGTTCAAAAAGTTTGTGGTTGGAATGATTTTTTTATTTTTTTGAAAGAAGCTTATAAAAATAAAAGTGTAGTAAAAACAGTTATGTTGTGAAATATTACAATTCATACAACTGTTTTAATATATTTTAAAATGTAATTTGTAATGGCAAAGCTGAATTTTCAGCATACTCCAGTTTTCATATGATCCTTTAGAAATTATTCTAATTTGCTGATTTGGTGTTTAAAAAAATCTTGTTATTATCAATGTTAAAAAGAGTTGTGCAGCTTCAGATTTTTTGATGAATGGAAAGAACAGTATTTTCCACACATCTTTAATAACTTGCAAGCCATTTGCACGCTTTATGCTTCACACAAACTTTAAGCAAGAATTATGCATGCATCAAAAAAAGACATTTGCTCACATTTTCTAACAAGTTTCCATATAGTTATATTTCAAATACTTTCATAGAATCCAAGAAATGCATAGTGTGACCTTCCACAAGACATACAACAGTGACTTTTTCAAATTATTCACCACTATTACTTTTCAGTGAGGTGTTTTGCACATTGCTCTTTTGAAGGCTGCGTGAAAGCACCTGTTGATGTGATAAAGGGGTGGAGAGCGAAGGTTAAGATGAGCACTTGCTTCTGATTTGATTGAGGGGGGTTCCAGTTCTTCACAGCAGCTCCTCCTCAGCTCAGCCATGCGGGATCATCAAAGACTCTCCGCTTTGATCCACTCTTCAAAAGCCTTCACTGGCCTCTTGTCAGTGTCTGCTCTGCTGGTAGTTTAGGCTCTGTGCCACCGCTGTTAAAATAGCCCAATTAATTCACCACACTCTCCATATTGAGTTCATGTTGTCAGTGGTTGAAAAAAAAGAAATTCCGTAATGCAGATTTTGTATTAATTCAGAAAAATGTGGGGAATTACTTGCACTTGATGATGTCATGATCCAATTGTTTTTTCCCTCTACATTCTTAAAAATAAAAGTGGCATGGATGGTTCCATGAAGAACCTTTAACATCCATGGAACCTTCCCATTGCACATTTCTTTATATTGGAAAAAGGTTCTCTAGATTATTAAAATGGTTTTTACATTAAGAAAATAATGATTCTTTTAAGAACGGTTCACTGAAAGTTCTTTGGGGAACCAAACATGGTTCTTCTATGATATTGCTGTGAAAACCCCCTTTTTGGAACCTTTATTTTTAAGTGAGTAATGCCTGGTTCAGACTACACGATTTTAGCCCGATTTTGCCACGATTTGCTTGACGTAGGGTGTCGTGGGGATTCGTAAACGACAATGGGCGTCGGGACGCAAGATTCCATCGTTTCAGCACGTGTGGTGTGTCATAGTGGACGACAACCGATTCCGCGTCTGCGATGCTTCACGACATCACGACAGAAAAACTAGCATGTTTAATTTTTTTCCGTCGTCCACGACGAGTTCTGTCACATTGGTGACGTTGACCAATAGAAGATTTTAGGAGTCAAAATCATGTAATCTGACACAGTGACTATCAAATATCGTGTAGTCTGAACCCGGCATAAGATACTCTAAAATATTTGAATTCTTTGATTTGAGTTTGAGGTCATCTCTGCAGGTGGACCTCAAGGGCCAGAGTGGAGAACCCCTACTCTAAATGATCTAATATACATTGTTAAAAATAAAGGTTCCAAAAGGGGGGTTTTGCAGTGATTCCATAGAAGAACCATATTTGGGTTCCCTAAAGAACCTTCCAGTGATGAATTCTTAAAAGAACCATTTTTTCTGAGTGTGAAGAACATTTTTAAAAAACTGTAGTGCAATGGAAAGGTTCAACGGATGTTAAAGGTTCTTCTTTGAAGTTGGAACCATAGGTGCTAATCAAGAACCTTTATTTTTAAGTGTATATAAGCTACAGATATATACAGTACTGTATGTTGCTTGCAAAAAAAAACTCAAACCTGCATAATCTCTACAAGCAGAAGCTAAGCAGGTAAACTCTCTTGTTTTGCAGTTAGACTGGCTTATGTGAAAAATGCAAAGTGATAGGACATTTACATTTATATTCCATGCACTTGACAGACACTTTACACTTAAGGCCCAGGTATACTTAATTTTCTGTGTTCCACTCCATCTTGTGCACAGTTGAGCATGCAGGCCTTTTAAAGCATAATGCATTTGATGCATACACGCTCATTCTAAAAGATTTTGACTTTATAATGAACAAATTCAAGAACTCCTAACAAGTACATGATAGGTAGTATATTAACATTATAAAATTATTAGGGTAATATGGTTTTTTTTTTCTTGATCATAGATGGCACAAAATCTCATCTCAACATAATTAAGGAATGATTATGCTCTTCTTAATTTTATAATTTCATCTGAACATTAACATTAACATTAATGTTTTTAATGGGGTAAATGGCCTCCACAGAATTTGGATAGATCGACCCAAGTGGCAAGTTGTTACAAGTGTTATTATTTTAATTTAATACAAATTGCAAATTTGTAATATTTTGCTATTCATTAAAGCCTATTGGCTAACTGCGTGAAATCATTCAAATGGAATTCAAAGCGTTGACACATCTTGAATTAAAAATGAGCAATTAAAATATATTTACATATGCCTGTATAAGAGCCCATAGAATAAATTTGCCTTTTAGATGAATCTCTTTTACTTGGATTCTGTTTTGTCTGTCATTGCTTACATTTTTTTACTAAATTGTCAAAACACAATTTAAATAGAATAGCTGATTTAGTATTTGCACTGAAACATTTACATAAATAGCTGAAAATGTACATAATGTAATAAAATTTAGATAGAATTATGTCTTTTATATAGGGTTTCATTAATATTTGATATCTTTATAATGACTGACGTGTTTGTCACCAGTATTTTGTTTATTTCGAGAATGTTCCCTGGTCAAACCTGTAATCTTGGTGTTGTTAGAGCAATGCTCTACATGTTTACATAACTCCTCAGATCTATTAAAAGATTTATTCAAACTAAATCTCATATTCAGATTCAGACTAAGTACATCACTTGAATTTTGGCATCTCTCCAGATGTTTTGACCATGTAATTCTGTGAATGGACAAACGGTCCAACACACAATAAATCAGACTGATACAGATCAATTTTTGCACCGCTGGCAACGTTAGGTAAGTTTATGGACTGTCCGAAACTGACATAACATAATCTGGCTTGGGAAGAAGCAGGCGAGTGACACGGAAAGGCTCTTTATGGAGTCAGGGGAGTTGTCTTTCATTCTGCTTGACTGAAGATGTTGAAGTGTCTGATGCTGACAGGGATCCATTAGGGAGCCTGGCCTCTCCTCAGTAATGGAGAGCAAAGGAAAGAACGGAGTTCATTCTCCATCAACTTTGTCTCTCTTTATTACTCTCTCTTTGTTTCTCATTCTTTTGGTCTAGCTGTAATTCTCTGTCGCATCAGACAGCCTGTGAAGTTGCTACTCAAGGACATTTGACAATTTTTTGTGTGATTGAGGCTAATAAGGCAAATCTCTTTCTCTCCACAATCTAACAGTGTCTTAAGGGAGTTTCTCCTTTTATATAGAATATTACTGGGTTTCCACCACAGAAACTCACTCAGAATGCTTCATCATTTAGGTCAATTCCTGGAGGAAAATGAAATAAGGGGACTGGTAAGAACGAGTTTGTCTAGAAAGTCCTATATAAGCACTCTGGTATGTTTTATTTCTCCTGTGCTGTGCTTTCAAACTAAGAAGGACATATCTGAGAAAAAATACTCATTGCCGTATATGTTCTGTGTACATGTACAGGGCCATCCTTAGGGTGGTGCAACTGGTGCAGTCTCACCAGGCCCCACGCTTGAGGGGGCCCCACGGCGAACGGACCGAGGGGGACAAGGAACGCGATCGTGAACGGACCGAGGGGGGCCCCACTCCCTACCTCGCACCGGGCCCCGCATCAGCTAAGGATGGCCTTGTACATGTACATTTTGAAATGTTGTGACTGCATATAAAACATAGTATATACTCACCAGCCACTTTATTAGCTACACCTGTTCAACTGCTTGTTAACATAAATATCTAATCAGCCAATCACATGGCAGCAATTCAATGCATTTAGGCATGTACATGGTCAAGACAACCTGCAGTCGAGCATCAAAATGAGGAGAAAGATTATTTAAGCGAGTTTGAATGTGGCATGGCTGTTTGTGCCAGACGGGCTGATCTAAGTATTTCAGAAACTGCTAATCTGCTGGGATTTCTTACACACAATTATCTCTAGGGTTTACAGAAAATGGTCCAAAAAAGAGAAAATATCAGTGAGTGGCAGTTCTGTGGGTGAAAATGCCCTGTTGATGCCAGATGTCAGAGGAGAATGGCCAGACTGGTTTGAGCTGATAGAAAGGCAACAGTTTCTCAAATAACCACTTGTTACAACTGAGGATTGCAGATGATCTCTAAATGCACAGCATGTCGGACTTTGAAGCAGATGGGCTACAGCAACAGAAGACTACACTGGATACCACTCCTGTCAGCTAAGAACAGGAAACTGAGGCTACAATTTGCACGGGCTCACCAAAATTGGATAACAGAAGATTGGAAAAAGGTTGCCTGGTCTGATGAGTCTCAATTTCTGCTGCGGCATTCAGATGGTAGAGTCAGAATTTGGCTTAAACAACAAGAAAGCATGGATCCAACCTATCTTGCATCAACAGTTCAGACTGGTGCTGGTGGTGTAATGGTGTGGGGAATATTTTCTTGGAACACTTTGTCCCCTTAATACCAAGCTGATCATTGTTTAAATGTCACAGGCTTCCTGAGTATTGTTGCTGACCAAGTCCATCCTATTATGACCACAGTGTACGGTTGTGACGGTTACTTCCAGCAGGATAACACACAATGTCACAAAGTTCAAATCATCTCAAACTGGTTTCTTGAACATGACAATGATTTCACTATACTCAAATGGCCTCCACAGCCACCAGATCTCAATCCAATAGAGCACATTTGGGAGGTGGTGGAAAGGAAGATTTGCATCATGGATGTACCTGACAAATCTGCAGCAACTGCTTGATACTATCATGTCACTATAGAGCAATATCTCGGAGGAATGTTTCCGGCACCTTGTTGAATCTGTGCCACAAAGAATTAAGGCAGTTCTGAAGGAAAGGGGGGGTCCAAGCCGATACTAGCAAGCTGTACCTTATAAAGTTGCAAGTGTGTGTATGTATACAATGTTAAGGCTTATACTGAACGAATCAGTGAACAAAGCGGAATAAATCTTTTTGGTCAAGTGATGTCTGATGATGATGTCAGACAACATTAAAGTCGAGATGCAACTTAAGTAGCGACAGATCTTTTGTACTGTGATGTACATCCAAGTGTAACTGATTATCGGAAAAAGAAAAATTGTAGGACGAGGACTTGGTCTTTATGCATGAATCACTGAATTGTTCACTCAACTAATTCATTCAAAAACACTGATTCATTTGGGAATGCCACAACTGTGTGTTGCTCAGGGACATTGTTTGGAACTATTTTCACAGACAGAGCAAAAATAGACAAAATTAGTGTCAATAATGTGTCTAAAACCCAAGTTAGTTCTTGTTTATTGAACTGTGTCGGCAATATCACACTCACAATTGTGCGGATACAAGGACGGGTCTGTTTTAATGAGGTTTGTCCACTGAGGGACATATTCTTCACTGCCAGTTTCTTAGGGAAGCATCATGTATGCTTTAAAAACTGGCATATTTGGTAAATACACATTTAATTAAATTCTATGGATTGAGGTCTGAGTTTAGCAGCCTGCATGACATGCATGTCACAGTGTCTCTGCAGCTGGTGATGTGATTATGACTTTGTTGTGATAACGGAGAAAACCATGTTTTGACAGGGATGTGAAACTGTGCGCCTGATAGGTTTGCATGCTATTACAGTCTGACGAATATCAGAAATTATAACATGAAAAGGAAACTTTACTGCCACTGAGAATGAACTAACGTGC